CGTGACAGCCGCCGCCAGCCCCGGCTACCGGCTGAGCACCCTCATCGACTTCCTCCTGCACCGGACCTACGCCGAGCTCACCGTGCTGGCCGACCTGTGAGTGCCCCGCATTCCCCCCGGCCCCCTCCCGCGCCTCTGGCTGCCCGGCTGCCAGCGCTAGCAGCGCCGCCTCCCAGCATCCCGGGAGGATGAGGAGGCCTCGCAGGGATCTGCTCCGGACCCCGGCCGGGGCTGGAGTGGGGGGAGGTGGTTGCTCCTTCCCCTTCTCCCACCCTGGGGAAATGCCCTGTTCCTGCAGGTTTGTCTTTGCAGCGGGATGTGTTCAGGGACCTAGCGAAAACTGTTGAGTGTTCTGTCATAAAGAGGGAAAATGATTGTGAGGAATGCAGAGCAGCTGAATGCAAATTGTCTGGTTAAATGCTTAAGTTTGCCCCCAAGTTACTGTCAAAATATCCAACTGCACTGGTTGTGCTGATGACAAAATACATGAAACTGAAATGTGTGGAACTAAAATGTTTTCAGATGCTGCAACTCCTTGAGTTACCCGTGTACTCTTTAAAAATACCATTTGATTATTTTGGAGAAAGAAAATAAGTTATTTACGTTTATTTTACAATGTGCTGTGCTGATGGCATTGTGTTTGAAGTGGCAAAACAAAGGAATGTTTTTGGGCCAAGAAAAACTTTAATGAAAGCATTTGGACTCTGAATAAACCTGTTTCATGTTTAGTTTGTTTAACCTTAGAGGTTCTTGTGGGGAACCTGTGTGTCTTAAGAAGTGTCATACAGAACAAATGGAAAAAAATAGGTATAGTTCTTGTAAAATACCATATCTGCGAAGTATGCAAACAGAGTTTTGCTTGACTTGGGATTAAGAGTGTTTAAACTCCAGAAAGGACCAGGAGTTTTAGAATTTTAGTTTGTTTTGGAAGAACTTCCAAAATGTCAGTCAAGAAGTCTGTCCTGTATATGTATGGTATGTGTAGACAGTAGTTGATACTGTATGCATTCTTGTAGGAGCATGTGCCAGTGATGTCTCTTATTCTTGTTTTAAGGTGTAGAACAGGTCCTTTTGACTTAAGTACATCATTAAGGTAGAAAATAAAATGGGTGGTGTGAACAACATATGGGGAATGCTTTGGGCACTTTGATTCACCAAGTAGTTTATAATCTGTGTGATGTCCCCTCCAAAAGCAGAGTGAGCTAGGTTTTTCCACTTATTTCCCCATAAAGTATGGATTTGGCTAGTAGAAAGCCCAGCTGGAAAATATTCTCCTTCTTCCCTCCAACAAAATGATTTCTCATTATTTTACTAGCACCAGCCTAGTCCTAGAATTAAAAAAAAAAACAAAACTTTTTAAATGAGATGCCTGTGATCTGTGTAGAACGTTACAGAAATACAGTCCCCTCTCTGCAGTAGTATCTGTCACACAAGTCATTGATGAAGTTCTGGAGTATGGCATTTCTCCACTTTTAGATTGATTAAAAAGGGAAGAGAAAGTCATTTCAGGCAAGTCAGGAAACAGCCAATTTTAACACCTGCTGCAGATGTTCTAGGATTGCTACTATGAATTAATTAATGCTAGTTATGGATGCTTAGTGAGAGTCATCAATTACAGAGCACAGGCAGTGATACTATGTGGCTCATTAGATTTGCAGAAGTCTTGGGATTTCAATACCCTTTTAAATTAATTTGACCAGTTCCAGCTTACCTGGTACAGAGTAGTAGCAGGTGCCCTGTGGTGCTTTTATACACCTGATTTTTTTTTTTTTTTTTTTTCCCCCCTCTTAACTAGGCTGCTTACTAGAGCTGTCAAGCTACTTCCTTTATCAAACGTGTAATTTCATTGTATTTAGGAAGCATTTACAATCATAGAAATTTCTAAATGCTCTTTATGGGTATGTAGAAGTTCTTCTTATACTTAGTTGAAGGTTACTAACAAAATTTCTGGTAGTCTGAAATCAATAGAACAATATATAATACGCCTTCTTTTTTTTCTTTTTAATATAGATTACCAAGAAAGACTGATATGGAGAGGTGAGTTACAATAAGACAGTCTGTACTGCATGTTAAAATATAGAACTTTGTTTAGGATGTCAAGATTAATATAGAACTGTTTAAATAAAATATTTTTATCCTAATTTTATGCAAGAAAATAAGCCTTGTCTGTCTTGCTGTCGCTACATAGTTTCCAGATTTTTCTCAGCGTCAATGGTAATATTAGTTTTTGTTGGTTTTTGGTTGTGTTGTTTGGGCTTTTTTTTGTTGCACTGTTCAGTAACATACTGTTGCTGTTATAGTAGGTGAACTCTGTTAAGGGCATTTTTCTGTTCATGAATCCTGAAGCAATGAAGTGACAGTAAAGCTGATGTGAAAGGGAACTGGAGAACCTAAATAGACTCTAGTTAGTGTGATAAAGAAACTTTTTGTTCAGAAGCAGCAGTCAACAATTAAAACAAGGTGAAAACCTCTTTTCTGCTTTTTTCCATGTTACCTGATTTTTCTTATCATGAGCACTGTTTTCTGCTTCTGTTCTATGTGTTTTTTGAAGTGTGAAGATCATTAGAAAACAAATGTAAGAGGCCAGAACAGGCTGTTTTCCTCTCCCACCCCCGAAGATGAACGAACTTGATTTACTTTTTTGTTTCTTTGAATAAATTTTTATGGAAGTTGTCAGAAAATTGTTTCCTTTGTTATTTGTGTTGACATGCTAATTGACCTAATTTTCTTTGGAGACATATAGCAGCTATGATATTCCTAAGAATGTTAATAAAGAATTCTGTGTACCAGGATAATCATTAATTCAGTTATCTCAAAGCTTCCAAAACTCGCATAACATGTTGTGGAATTAATCCCATTTTCAGGGAATCATAACCTGGGATGATTCCTTGTGCCTCTTTTCCTTATGCATAATATTTTATGAAAAGAAACAGTCTGGGTTTTGTTGGGGTTTTTTGTTTGTTTGTTTTTTAATTATTACTCTATTTGCTGAGGAAATTACATTCAACTGAGGTCCAGAGCTCCCTCGTACTGGTGCGGGGGCTTCTCCCATCTAGATTTTTAGCATTTCTTGGTAAAGCTGGAATCTACCTTGTGGGGCACACAGGTCTGGAGCAACATCTGAAGTCCTAATGGATTACACTTAAAAGAAAATAAGACAGCCTTCAATGGTTACAAAGAATGTCCTGCAATTGAAATTGTCCTGAAATTAAATGTTCACATCCTTGTTAGCTTTGACTTACAACTCTTGATGAAGTGGCTTTCCAGCTCTTGGAGGAAATCTGTAAGGAAGGTAGTTTAATTATCTAGATTATTCTATTCTTCCTAACTTTGAGAGCTGTAATGGCAGCAGTTTTTGGGCTTTAAGCTCTGTTTCTTGAAGCTAGCCTGGTGACATGGCATACATACTTTAGTGAAGATGTGATAGTATTATCCTCTAATAAAGTTCACATAAAATCTAAATTCGTTACTATAGTACCTAGCTAAAAGATGCTGTGATAAGAAAAATTGATAGGAAATCATGCATCGTAGTATAATATGGCTTTTCTTTGTAAAGGGTCATTTATTAACTTTCCTATTTCCTTATGATAGGAATAAATCAGTTTTGCAACAAGAAAGAAGTGGTTGGATTAAAAAAACATTAGTACTGTCGTGTAAAATTAATAGTGCTGAGTTCTGGGGGAAGTCCAGGGGCTTGCTTCTTGATAATGGAGACCTTTTTTTTGCTCAGTATTCTTTATCTTTTCCTTTTTATCCTCCAATAAAGTGTAATATGTGGGAAACTTTTACCTAAATACAGTAACGGCTGTATAAGATTTATCTGGAACTTGGATTATAATGACTTTGCAAGACCCTATCTTCTGTTGTGGGGAAATGGAAGATAAAACCTTACACCTGCATTCCTGAATGAACAGT